GTGCGGCCGGCCTGGCATAGTTTGATTATGTTTTAGTGGGGGTTTTGTATGGGGTACTTTTAGAGCAGGCCTGTTATTTAATTTGATTTTAGAACAGAAACTCGTGTATATTTATTGTGGTTTTTATTATCGCCTGTTCACCGCCCTGAGTCCCGTAAGGGAGATAGGGCGGTATATAAATTTAATAAATAAATAAATAAATGCTGTGTCTCAATTCTAACTTTTTTTTTCTCTTTTATTGACCACACTGCATGTGTCCTGAAAGATTGGGAAGTGGCAGTAACAATCCCTATATTTTATAAGGTTGAGGAAAAGTTACCTCTAAATTGTAGGCCTATCAGCCTGCTGAGTAGAGTTAGCAAGTTGTATGCCAGACATCTGTACGGTTGATTAGTGGTTTGGATGGAGTCTGAAAATATCCTGGCAAAGCAACAATTTGGCTTTCATCCTGGCTTTCTGTTTTACACCCAGCCTTTATATCAAACCATCTGGCGGAAAAATAAACTAAATTGATCTCTATATGCAACATTAGTTGATTTTAAATTGCATTTGACCTGATCTCAAGCTACAAATTGTTTTCAATGACAATTGATCACTGCCTATTTCTCCTGATGTTGATACTGTGTACCCATTGCTAAGGAAATTTCAATTTCAAATTTCATTCTATGCTTTTGTTTCTGTTGTAACAAACAATGTTTAGAGATCAGCAGTGATAAAACTAAAATAAATAAAAATCCTAGGTAGTAGAAATGTGATTGAAAAGTCACAGTTGAACGTCAGCCCAAAATTCGAGTGCTTTTTTGGTATATGAGAGAGTAAGGAAAAGAGTAGTCTTTTCACCTGTAGTCTTTTTTCTTTTTTTCAATGTTCCATGACTCAGCTACTTTTCGTTGTATAGTTATTTTTAGATGCTATAGTTTTCTCAGATCTTATTTCACTACCATCCCTCCATATTTCTGTTCTGTCCCAGGTTAGAAGTGAGGATTGTCTAAAGACAATGGGTAAATTTGTGATTTTAATCAAGATGTGATTAGGCAACAGTTTGCTTCAAACAAAAGATAGTTGCAAAAGTTGGAATAGCTATTTTTAGTATTCATTATGAATCCATAACTTCTCTTCTCCAAATAATGATATAAATTATTGTAAAGAAATCTATTAATTAGTTACAATAGGTAATAGCAATACCACAAACAAAAGATATCAGCAAAACTGGGAACTGTGCAGTGGTGGGATTCAAATATCTGTGTGGATGCTGCTTCCGGAAGTCCATTCTGGGCCTGGGCAACAAAAAATTAGCTACCAGTTCTGTCAAAGTGGTGCGAACCGGCTGAATCCCACCACTGAAACTGTGGGCTTAGTACTGATTCAGTGTAAATCAAGAATATCTTTCTGATATAAGGAAATTCCTCTGAAATCTTAACTCTAAGCCGTTAATATTTTGTAGTTCCTAGAACTTTTAAATATAATGTGGATAAGACAACTTTTATCTTAGTTTATAAACTTTATGGCATAGGTCCAGGATATCTGAGGATGTGAAATGGGACAGTTGGGCACAGCTGCCTCACCCCCGCCCCATCCAACCCACCGTGGCCATCCCCAGTTGCTCCTCACTGGCTGCTCCCCCCAGCAGTTTACCAAGGACAGTTCGCTTTGGCACAACTCGTCCAAACAGATTCACCACACAGGGCAACTAGTTGCTCAGGATAACTCGCTAAATGCCAGAAGTGAAGAGAATCTTTTTCTCCTCCCCTCCTTCTCTGTCTCCCTATCTCTCCCTCCCTCCCCCACTCCTTGATCCAACTTACTCTGCCCACCAATACCCCTTGAGCTCTGTGCACCCTCCCTTGTTGCACAAGCAGCGCAAACCAGGGATTTGAATTAAAGGCCCATTGGGGACACTCAAGGCTTCGAGGAGTTGACCTTAAAATGAATGATGCCACATTGCCCTGTTCCAAAAAGTTTATCTCGCCTTTTCTCAGTTAGCAATGAGCAAAGAGGTGGTGTGTGTGTGTGTGTCTGTGTTGTTTCCCGTCATTTCTTGCCCAGATGTATACAGAAACAGGGGAGGGGGGGTCTTTGCCCTTTCCCCTCTCCTCCCTGTATCTGCTGGATGTCTTCCCCGGTTTTAAACTTGACCAGCTCCTCCGAAAATTTTATCTCTGGCTCTTTTTTGTTTTCAATCTTTGTATATTTGTGACAATTTTTCTTCCAATAGTCTTGCTGGCCCTTGTTGCTCAGCCAAAGTCCTGAGTCCTGTAGCCCATTTGTCACCAGATGTCTGGGATCTCCAACTCATAGTGGAGTCCTTGTTGACCCAGGTATAGATTTCTGTAAGTCACATCTCATCACATTGTTTATGGGAGAGACACTCTTCATCTAGCTCCTCTGATGTGACCTATCTAATATGGTTGTATTATTATTATTGTGAACATGCTAATATCAGCTAAACTGTGTGATTTTTAATTTCGTACGTTCTTTAGTTAAGGCACCAGGCTAGAAATCAGGAGACAGTGAGTTCTAGTTTTATCAACGGGGTGACTTTGTGCCAGTCACTTCCTTTCAATCCAACTCACCTCAAAGGGTTGCTATTGTCAGGAAAATAGGAAGAAGAAGAAGTATTAGGTATGTTCACCGACCTGAGTTATTTATAAAAAATAATAAAGGCAGGAAACCAACAAATAAATGTGTTCTTTTAAAAAAACAAACTGTAAGAGCAAGGCCCTGGTTTATTGATATGAAGTCTATTTTAGAAATGACTGTTTCCCAGTCTTGCAACGTGTGGACCTCAGTTCCCAGGATTCCCTAGTTGGCATGGCCAATTGTAAGAATTCAGGGAGTTCACATGACTGGCTGTTGTCAGGGTTGTTAAGTATGATATACATAGAAAGCAGGTTTACCTCAGGCAGTAGAGACCACCAGTTCTTCCTTAAAATATGGTAATAGACTGTTGTGTTCTTCATTTATATCATTTCCTCCCATTTTGGTCTTAGAAAGTATTTTTACATTTGTTTAACCAAATTAATTTACAAATCTCTTTTTTTTT